TGAGGCAGACTGCAGGAGGAGCAGGGCTGGGGAGAGGTGGGACACAGTGGCTGACACCTGGAGCTCAGTTTTAGATGGGCTGAGTCTTAAATGTCTATCAGACACTGGAGTGATGTCAGGTAGTCAGTGGGTTTTATGAGCCTGGAGTTCAGTGGATAAATCTGACTTGAAGATAAAGAGTCTAGATAGAGCCAAGGGCATTTCCAGGTAATTTTTAAAGATATATAAAATGGGGCCCCAGATCTAGCAAATCACAGAACACCCTGTTAAATTTACTTTCAGATTAAAGAAACCAAATGATTTAAGTATATGACAAATATGACATGGAGCATATGTATATTAAAAATCAATTGATGTTTAATTCTAGTTTAGCTGGGCATTCTGTACTTTTATCCAGCAACCCAGCATTAAGGAAAAACTCTGGTGAGATGAACTGATTATGATATATAAATTCCCAGCTATTTTCTAGCCCTACTTCTGTTCTAGCTGTGTTGCTGTCCGCATGTGCTATCTCTGAATGGGTCACTTTCAGCTCTTTGCACTGGATGTCTCTACTGCTTCTGAGTAAACAGAGAGGGGTACCTGGCCTTTCCAAATCTTACATAAGTATCTTAACATGAAAGGATGTGTGAAAAAGAATAACTCTCTAGACTCTGCAAATGATTTATTGTTATGTGAAAGCAGTTGGGTTTTGCCCGAAGTCATGGTCTTTTGAATGTGATTGTTATTTTCAAATGCATTTTAGAGTACAGAGGGACCCTTGGGATACCACAATTCAAGTCCTTTGTGTAAAACATTGTAGTATTTGCATATAATCTACGGACATCTCTAGATTACTTGCAATACCTAATACAACGTATGCAATGTGAATAGTTATAAATACAATGTAAAAACTACATGAAGAGTTGCCAATGCATGGCAAATTCAACTTTTGATTTTTGGAACTTTCTGGGGTTGGTTAGTTGAATTTGCAAATGTGGAATGTTGGATACGGAGGACCACTGATATTTTCCTTTTGAATAAATGTCCATGTGTTTCTCTTTAGGAGAAAAACTTCTAGCAGTAGCTGACATCCAGTTTGTTATATTTTTCTTGACAGTACTTGGCATCTCTTATTGTAAATAAGAAAAGGCTAAGAGTAGAGGAGAATGAATACAGTCATACAGGACCTGATAATCTGACCCAGTTAGAGGTTCCTAGGAGAATGATGCCGAGTCCTTCAGGAGAGGGGCAGGGATACAGAAATACCAGCCAGAGGCTGCTTAGTTCCTGCTCTAGCTAAGTCTTGACCTGCTACCAAATTATGAGTATTGGCTTCATTTTGAGATTTGTAGGGAAAATGCTTATAAATGAACTGTAGGCACAAATCATTAAAAAGCCCAAAAAGATATATTCACATGTATATTAAGAGTTTA